ACCTGCCGCGGGCGGGAGGGCGATCGACCCGGCCGGGCCGGGCCCGGCGACCCCGGGGCTGGTGGTACTGGTTTGTTATTAATCTGAGTTGATGATTTTGGGGGATTTTGATAAGGAGTGATTAGGACTAATGGAATCTCACAGAAATATCGGGTTTTATAAAAGATAGTAGTGTAATAAGTAGTCCTAGAGATGTTGTATTCAGTTTAGAGTAACCATACAGCCAGTTACGATACTAGACGAGGCACCATCGTTAGACTGTCTGGGGAGGGCTATTTATTGCCCTGTAGACCAGGTGTTTTGAGAGTTGTATTGTGAAAGGGCCTCGAGGTGGGTTAAAACTGCAATGTGAGCCAAAGTCTTTGAGTCAAGGACACTAAGGGGGGTTCTTCTTTTGAGTCAGTAGTCTGTAGTGGTCGCAAAAGCAGCCCCATGACTCATTTCAGGACTCAGGTGCGCATGACCAGAAAGGGGTGGGAGTATGAAAATGAGTTACAGGAATAAACATGTTTATGTATGAGAGTATGCATAACTGTATCCTTTATAATCAGCATGTTACACGAGTTAGGCGTGTGCTGTTGGCAAGACGACTCCCCTGCGCACTCGGCCGTTAATAAGGGAGTGTCTGCTTATCCACATCACATTGGTGTCGGTAAGTTCTTTTATCCCATTTTGGTGACCCTGGGAAGGGGGCAGCAGGCTGTGGCTCATCCCCTCGCCTTGTGCCCTCATACCTCGGCCTCATGCCTGCCCTTCACCTCCACTGCATCTCCCCTGGAACCACCAAACCATCTCCCGAGGGCCTGCCCCTTGTGTTTCCCCTGCAGGTGTCACCCCAGAGGTGAGGTAACACACCCTAGAGTTGCTGAAGCAGCAGACTCATCTGCATGCACCAAGACAGCCAAATGTCACCGTGTCCCCTGCACATCTCCAACGGGAGGTCGGCCCTACCCTCAGCACCCCGACAGAGGTTTGTCTAACCTGAGCTTTACCTGCCATGCACAAGCCCTGCCTGAGCCTCGCGGTTCCTAGTGATACGTGCTTAACATCTCTCCTTCACTGCTCCCACTACAACTCAACTTCATTCTCTTCCTGATCTTGGGTAGCATTAAAAAGAATTTAACTTTTTGTTGACCCATTGAAGGCCATTTGCAACCCACTCTAAAAACCTGTCTTTGCCAGACAACCCCAGTTATTCAGCTCAATTAGTCCCCAAAAGCTCTTGTCACTCTCCCAGCAACTTCTTTTCCCAGTTAACTTCTGGAATACAAGGCTGGAAGCAGCAGTAGGATTATACTGGGTACAATATGCTACTTAAAAGCAATAAATACAGTGCACTGACTATCACACAGCTCATGCACATGCTACAACCATGCCTTCTTTGTGCAGTGCTCCTATTTTTCCCCAACTCTCTGACCTTGTCGGCTCCCAGTCTGGTTTTAATCCTCTGTAATCTCAATTATATTTTTGTGCATGCCTGTGTGTGGAATCGAGGCCTAGCCAGCGAAAGCTGTCATGCATGCAAACCCCAGGGTGGCAGCCCACATCAAAACCCTGAATCTCTCCCTGTGAGCCCACAGGCACAAGCTTGAGTACCATGCAGGTGCCTGAGGTGGCCCAGCTGCAGAGCCAAGCGTGACAAGTCTGTGTGCATTCCCTGGAAAGGGGAGCACGCAGCAAGCTGCTGGTCTCTGCTTTTCTTTTTTGGAGCAGCAGCTGTGCTAGTATGTTGATTTTTGCAGGTGTCTTATATTTGGAAGCAGCCTTCTCCTGAACAGCTGGAACTTAAGTAGCTAGGAGGGAAAAAAAAACCAACAAAACCGCTGAAATCCATCTTGAAAACAAGGGGAAGCAGCGAAGAAGAATTGTAAGCCAGAGTCTGGTATGAACCGTGATGTGTCTGGCAAACACTTAACACACTCACTTGCATGTGGGAGCTCATATCCTTGATCCAATACCTCCTGGGGAAGCCTGACTGCACCTGGTGTAACACAAAGACAGCAGGCTAGGGCTGAGTCTGTAATTTACGTAACAAAATAAAGCTTTTATCAATCAAATGGAGAACAATTCTGATAGACAACACAGCATAGGATTTAACAGTGCTGTTCTCAGTTTTTCCATAAACTTTTTTTTTTCCATGTGGAAATACAACTTCCAGAAGAAGTTGTTAAAGATTACAGCTGACACTTGAGAAAGGCTCAGAAGTTAATAGGGCCAGCAAACTAAGAGATTCTTCCAAATCACCTGGCAGCAAGATAACACACACCAAAGTACTATGGAGAACACTCTTTAACATCCCATTAGGATTACAATGAGGTAATCCAGTGCTGTGTCAGTGACCATCCATGCCAGGCTGTCTACAGGCTGCAGAAGGTAACACAACCTACAGTTCACACTTCAGCAGATTTCACAAATACTGTATATTTCCAGTGGCCATTGCAGCTCCAGATCAAACTCCTGGGCTGGGGAAACACAAGCCACCTCCTGCCCATGGTCACTCCACAAGTCACTATGACCTAAAGGGAAAGCTGCTGTATGAACCAAACCAGGGGTGTCACACACTGTCCTCCAGCTTTGAGCTGCAGTCCTCTTGGTGTGGTACACTAGTCCAGACAGAACTTCCCTCCCCTTCCACATCCCTCTCAAACCCAACAATCATAGAATGGCTCTAGAGAATATAACTCCCAAACCAGAACAATAAACACGTTTGTGCTCCACATATGGTGTCTCTTGGGACACTGTGGATGAGATTCACTCTGAAAGCAGACTTCTGGCCTTGCCTCTGAGTTGTGGTTTTGCAGCTCTGAAATGCCCAAGACCCCAAGGTAAGGCAGGAAGATGGGCAAGGTCACACATTAAACCCCATGAGCCTTCTGGAAAGGCCTTTAAAGCAGTGTATGTAAACTATTTTGGAGGTGAGGAAACCACACACACTGTGCTTGCATGTGATCAAGGTTTTTCAGCATTAGTGCCTAATAACTCAGCCCAGGATGGGACTCAAGAGTCCAAGCACACAAGGCAGCAGTGGCACATGGATTAACAGTATCCACTTCCCCACCATTTACCTTCTTCAGAGAATGGGAGGTACAAACGGACCCCATTCCTCATCACAAACATGCGTGTCACCCGGTTCCCTCCAGAGGAAGGTGTTCTAGCAGAAATTGCATAGCTGCTCTCAGCATTGAGATCATAACCTCCTTCTCAATGCACTCTGCAGAATTTCTCTGTGTGCACAGCATGCATGTGCACACACACCCTGGGAAATGAAGACAACACATCAGGCTGGTGCCATTAGCTTCAGTGCCTGGTGGCCATCAGCACTGCTCTGATGTTCCTCCACAAAGCCTCAAGGCACTGGTTTACTCTTGCCACCCCCATTTCTAGCATGAGGAATCTATGTACTTGCCCATTGCTGGGTTGCCAATTTTCTCGTGTGGGTTTTGGCCACACAAGCCTTTTGCTCCTTTGTCATTTCCTTGCCAGTACACATGGCATAGGAGGAGGCCTGGCTGACAGAGGCAGAAGGGCCACCATCTCCTACAGATACTCCAGGACAGAGGCCAGCATGCTGCCTAGGCTCACTCTCCATCTCAGAGGAATCATTCAGTTTTTGTCACCAGTATTCCTCAACACCAATCATGCAAACCCCTCCCCACCGCCCTGCTGAAGGCATCCAGGCTAAAACTCATATACTGAGGTTCCAAGAAGAAAGGCAATTAATTAGCTGCCGATGACTGCAGCAGCCCTGAGGTAAAGGGCAGTCTCTGCTGCTCCCATCCCAGAGAGGGCCACACACATACAGCAAGGGCATTAGGTCACTTCATAATCCTCTAAGCTATCGCAGTTAAGATCAGCATATTCAGCAGACAAAGGAATGAGCCATTCCTGCTCTGGCTGGCTCTGTGTTACCACAGAAATAGCTCCTGGCTATTCAATTTCCCAAGCACCAGTGGATTTCAATATCCTTTAAGCACCAGGAATCATCTCCCCTCTTTCCAGCTGATACTGGTGTTAGCAAAGTTGCCACTGTGCTTCAAGTAAGTCACAAATGTGGGTTTAGCAGAATGACTTAAAAATTTATTCAAAGTTACCAAATTTCACCTGGCACAGGTACCAAACAAAAAGTACCCCTGCATTCAGGTGTGGCACTGGAGAAGAAACATGAGACAAGATGACACCATATGTCTCCATGGAAAAAGGATTTACTGCACAGCAGAAATGCCAGGGCACTGACACACAAGTGGAAGCAGAGTTCTTCTAAGTCTCAAACTGCCCTGACAATGTGCCTGTTGCAACCCACCTCAGATCCTCTCCTCTGATAAAGCCAAGTATCAGATCTGGAACGGGAGGCCCAAGGACAGAAGGGTTACACCAAATAGAGAATGTGACCCTCAGCAGAAGTTTTTAGAGATTCCATGGCACCCAGAGATCTAGCTGGAGACAACTGCAGAAATAAATGAATGTCTAGTTATCCTGGACAATGCTCCAGAGGTGACAGAACGACTGAACTGGGCTCACTGCTTGTCAGAGCACCAAGTAAACAAAGCCCTTGCTTATAATGAAAGGGCCCCAAACAGCAGCAGGCTAGACATGGAGCACTGTGCCAGCTGCTGGTCTGAGCACTAGGTTCTCCATTAATCTTGGTCACGGCCCATTTTGCCTGTCAGCCTCCGTCGCTGGGTCTTTGTGGTTCGCCCTGTGCTGGATTTCCGGATTTTCTTGTGTGAGCCTTGCCCACGCTGGGGTCTCTTTTTTTTTGTCTTTTTCCGGCTGTGCATGTGCAGCGTGGCAGTAAGAGAAGAGATCCTGTGCAGGGCAGGAAGAGAGAATGTTTTGGGACAAAGTTTGCAGGAGCAAGGTGACACCACACCACCACCAGGCGAGCCCTGTGTGACCCAGCATGAATGGACACCAGCCACAGCAAGCCCCAGAGGAACTCCACTGTTCTGGGCACATCTTGACAGAGCAAAAAACCTGCAAGTCTACATGTGCAGTAACAACCACAGAAAAACGAATTTTCTGAGTAATGGGACTACCCAGCCACCACAGAGTTAAGTAATTCTCTGCATCCCCAAAGCAGTCATAAATTCTGGATACTGAAAAATGTGGAGTATGCCAAAGCTTTAGGGTCTTTTGACCTTCAATACTAGAGACAAACTCTGCATTCACCCTTCCCTGCAATATTTGCCAAGGACTAGATACACAGTTCAGGACAAAGCCTGTCCCACACCGCATCTTGCTCCTCCTCGTTCTGCTGCTGTCACCAGCCATCAACGTGATGGGAATGGGAGTGTCTGGGGCAGGCTTGTGCTCTGCCAGTGCCCTCTGCTGGCTCCTGCTCACTGGCACCCAGGCAGCACAGCATCCCCTCCCTGCAACCACACAGCCGATCTGGAAACCCAAGATCCTCCTGAGGAGCATGCACAGCCTAGCAGCAAAGAGTTGTATGGATTTATACATACTTTTCAGATAGAAATGGGTTTCGGGACTTCTTGGGCATTGTTCTTACAGGCTTGTTTACCATCTCTTCCCCCTTTTCTTCTTCTGATCCATCAATAAAAAAAAAAAAAAAAAAAAGAGAGAAAAAAATCCTTATAGACACATTAAAACAGGCAGTCTTGTGATTCTGATGTTTCTGCTGCCTTCTTGGTTTCATCCTGTTTTGTGAACCATCTAGTTATGGATGAAGTCTTTTCTAATTCTCAACATCACTCATTGTCCAAATCTCAACATTTATCATTGCAGCCCCTCAAAATAATGGACAAACAGCGAGAAGTCCTACAGTAATCCACCCTAAGATCCAAAAACTTCAGCATCATCTTAATGATCATGTAACTTAACTCTAAAGTATTAATTGAATGTTTCAGCTTTTTTTCTTGAATTACTAATAAAACATCTTTAAAATGGCTTTTCAGGTTAAAAGATTACCTTAGAAGTGTAAAAGGTTAACTGTCAAACAGATACTTCCCCAAAAAGCTCAAATCCAGCCACAAGTCATGAAGCTCAAAAGGATCAAGTCAACCAGTGCCTAAAAGCCTCTGTGAAACAAATATGAGATAGTGGTACAGGCACAGGAAGAGGCCTGGCTGACAGACGCAGATATGTTTTAAGAATAGAAGCAACTGCAACCAAAACTGAATGGTTCCCTTATTTGTGGTCCAAGGACAGGATGGATCATACAGAAAGAAATCCCTCCTCATGCTAGTAATTTTTCCTAGACAGGACACAGGAAAGAGGTTGAGGATAGCCCATGCAGCAAAGTCTGAAATCTCGCTGCTTGTGCTGTATTTGCTCTTACAATACTACATTGCCTCATCCAGCCCTGTGACGCTTTTCACTTACACAAGGGCGTTGGAATGGGCTGCCCAGGGAAGTGGTGGAGTCCCCATCCCTGGAGGTGTTTAAAAGTCAGGTCAACATAGTGCTTATGACATATGGTGTAGTTAAGAACAGTTAGAGTTAGGTTAATGGTTGGACTAGAAAATCTTCAAGGTCTTTTCCAATCTAGGTGATTCTGTGAAGGGCATCTGGGACTAGCAAAGGACTCCAGGGAGGTTTCATGTGAGCTGTTCACATCAGACATTTCTTTTTTTTTAGAGGCCCAACATAAGTTGTGGAGGAATGTGGAAGTTACAAGTTCCCCCTTTCATCCCTGCTCCTAGTCAGCTTTTTGCTTTTTCTAGTCTTTGGGCATAGCCAGGGAGTACCAGCCCTACCTAGCCAGCCTGAAGAATATTTATGACTGATACAGAGAGGCAGCATGAGGTTTTACCACAGGGGTGGTCAGTCCCAGCTGGCGTGCCCCTGAGAGGTCCAGGTCACTGATGGTAGTCACTGTTACAACGTGGTTTGGGTGGTCGATGTTCACAGACTCTGTCCGCGATGTCACCAAGTGCTCCAGTTCATCAGCCTCATCTGGGGAGACATGAAATCCTGCACTGCAAAGTGCCCAACTTGTTGTAAGTTATGCTCGCTTGTTCCTGTGGTGCCATGCTGATGGGGGGATCCTCCCTTTGCATGTAGGGTTAAAGGGCAGAGGGGCTTGAACACTGGCACTACAAGCATGAAGGGCAAGCTCCTTCTCCCAGCAGAGAGGCCCTGCTAACACCTTGAAGATGTCCTCCTTCCCGTTGCTTTCCGTACAACCCACTTGACCCCTGTCTCCCCAGGGCCAGAGGGCCGCAGAGGTCACACTGCCCAGCTTCCCAGAGGGACATGAGAGGTGCTGACGCTGTGGGAGCATGCAAGCGTCCCTGCTTCAGCCCCTATCACCCAGTCCAGGGTATCGGACCAAGGGCGCCCACCTCCCGCCCCACGGCCGACGGCCCAGCACGTACCGAGCGCCTCCTCCCTCTCGCTCAGCATCTTGAGGTACTCCTGGTGCCGCTGAGGGATGGAAACAGGTTCACTGCAGCGCCTCTGCCGCTCCAGCCGCCCGGGATGGCCCCATCCACTTACAAGCGGGGCAGGGGAAGCCCGAAGACCCCTCCTGTCCCACAGCCTGGTCCCCGCGGCCTGGCCCGCTCCCAGCCCGTCACGGCAGGAGGGGGGAACCCTTCTCCCACAGAGGACCAAGGGGTGTTTGTAAGGGTACCTCCTCCTTCATCTTCCTCTGCTCCTCCTTCAGCTTCCGCTTAATCTCCTCCAGTGCCGCCTTCCTCCGCTCCACCTTCCGCTTGTGGAAGCCGGTCAGGTACTCCCTGCCGCCGGCAATACAGAACCCCCCCAGCTTTTAGCGACCCCTTCACCACAGGATACTTTACCCAGTCCCGGGGCCCACCCAGCCTTACCTCCGCCTCTCCTCGTCGAAAGTCACCAACAACCTCCCCTCGCGGCCGCCCCAACCCTTCTTCCTGCGGCCCATGGCGGTACCACGCTGCTGCCGCTGCCGCTGCTTCCACCGCCCCTTCCGCCGCCGCCCGCCCCTTCCGCGCCGGCCGGCCGGGGAGGACGGCCCCTGCCCCACCCGCCATTTTGTGTTGTGGGCGCGTCGCTGGGTGGGGTTGCTTGAGGGGCTGTTTTTTTCATGATGTGTCAAGCAGGAGGTCCTTGTCGGCTGAGCTGCTCCTGGGCTGGGGGCAGAGTGGCCCTAGGGTGTGGGGGAGCCCCGAGCACCCCCGGCAGTGGGCTGTGGGGTGAGTGGAAGGGGGGGAGGAACGGCGCGCCAGGGCTGCTGCGTTGGTTGTGGGGCGGGTTGAAGTAGTGTGTGGCCGGCATCGGGTCCTCTTGTGCCACCGGTGTGTGGAACCTGTATGTGTGTCCTTGCCTGCTCCTGCCGTGCTTTCTTCCCCCAGGCTGGGGCAGGAGAGAGAAGCCACTGTCATAGATCTCACAAGGTATCCCTGGCCATAGCATTCAGCCTGGGGTGGATGGGGTTGTTTTGGGCTTGAGTGCCTCCAGCTCCCACTGCTCCTCCGCTCTGTCAGCAAAAGATTCAGTGGCATCACCTTGTGCAGCCAGCATAGCACCCGATTGCTTGCCCTGAGACTCGCTCTGCCACTCTTCTTGAGTATTTTACATCTGCATCTCTTCAATAAAAGTCTGAAAGTTTATTTCAAGCTGTTGTCATTGCTTGGTGTCAGCGATACCTGTGCTGCTACTCTTAGCTGGGGAAGGCAAGTGCAGGCGTGGGGTTTGGCTCAGGCACAGTGTCCCAAGATGCAGAACCTGGCTGAACGGCCATGGTTTCGGTAATGGTGGTGAGAGGTACTGGCACAAACTGGTGGGGGCATCAAGACTGCCATCCTCTCAGCTGCTGGCTTGAGTGACTTTGGCTGAACTTTTGAACCTTTCTCGCCCTCCAGTCTTCGCCTTAAAGATGGGTGTAATGCTTCTGTGGTGGCCAGCTGACTTTGGTGGAAGTACCTAAGGCACTGCAGGGAAGCCAAAGCCAACCCCCACAGCCCACAGAGCATGACGAGTCCTGACGCGGCCTGGCAGCTGCTTGTCCAGGGCCGCCTTGCCTTTATCATGTCCCTTGCTGCTTGTGCTCTTTTCCTGGCCTGTCCTTTCACCAGCAGAAATGCGGAAAAACCAGTTCTGTGGTTAACTGCTGCACTTCCCTCCACGCCCATGGGGCAGGTCTCCTCCTCCTCACTCACAGTCTGGGTGCACTTCAGCCTCCAGCCTCTTTGTCCCTGCCTGTGCTCAGCCTGCTCAGGTGCGTCAGACCTCCGTGCGCTTTCCATTAACCTTACAGCTTCTGCCTTCCCCTTTTCCCTCTGTCTGACAGAGCTTCTGTCTCTCTGGTGGCTCTTTCGTCCTTGGGCAACCCTGTGGGTTGGCCTGCAGGTGCAGAAGGTGCAGGCAGCTGCCCTCCTGGCCCTGCCTGGAGGGATAGCATTTCTACATGATGGCTGGAGGCAACGAGAGGAACGTGAAGGCCCTGAGGGAAGTGTGGAGAAGAGCAGAAAACTCTTTGTGCGCAGACTGCGGGAAGCCAGGTGAGTCTCCGAGGGCTGCTAGAGGAAGAGTAGGAAGCAGGGAGCTGGGGCTGGTGTCTAGCAGCTATTTGGTGTACCAGCTGTCTGGACTGCACACAAGCCTGGGGTGGAGAGGAAGGAGAGGCATTGCTCCGGGTATTTGCTTCTTCTCCCTGGAGGTGAGTTGTCAAGGGAGGAGGAAGGAGATGCTGCTGCAGCACTGGTTGGAAGAAGGACGGGGACATGGTAGTGCCAGATGAGCAGGGTCTGTGTAGCTGCAGTACTGTGGATTGTAGTCATGTCAGATCTCAAATACAAATCATGGTCATGCCCAGTCAGGACCTGACAGGAAAGCTCCCAGTGAAATCCTAACTGCTCCAGAAAGAAGGCATGATTCAGGAGGGCATTGTCTCCTTTATGACTCAGCTGTGAACTAACAACCTGCCACAGACACCTCGGGGATTTCTTTTATGGAAGGAATGGCCTTCTAGAAAGGGTACCCACTTTGAGGTCCTACAAGTGCTGCTAAAAACACCCATCATACTCTTCCCAAAGGAACACATGGAGTGTACCACCTGAGCCAAATTAGCCCAAAGACTGGACTAATTAGTACCATTATACCTTCTTAAATACTTCCAGGAAAATTTTGGATTCAAGGCTGCTTTCTGCTTCCTAAGCCAAATACTGGTGGGGGTTTGCTGTGTTGTACTAAACAGCTCTTGGAGTCTTTTCCCAGAGATGGTTTCATTTTCATCGCAGGTGACCCTTTACACAAAGGGAGCATGCAGAGCACTTCGGAGGTTTTCAAGGTTCAGGTCAGTAGAGATTCAGATGAAGTGGTTGAAGCAGGGGCATTGAGGAACTAATAGCTATGTTTTTTCCTGACTGGCATATATCTGTACCTTGGGTGTTAATTGATCAGCTCAGATGAAACTGTGGTCATCCAGCATTCTGTTTCTCAGGGCTATGTTCTCAGTTGAGGCATATCTCCCAGAGGAATTTACCACTTTTATCACACCCTTTTTTATATCCTCAGATCCTGACTGGGCATCCTCTACTTTGGGTGTGTTTATATGCCTCAGCTGTTCAGGAATTCACCGCAACATCCCTAGCATCAGCAAAGTCAAATCCCTGAAGATGGACCACTGGGATGATGCTCAGGTGCAGGTGAGATCTTTATCCCCACTGGTATGTCAGGTGGCTTGGCTCTAGGCAATAAACTGTCCTGGGAAAATCAGGCCTTTGGCTGTACAGAATTGGAGATTTAATCTGTCCCTTTGCTACTCATGCTCTGCGTACTCAAGCCGGGATAAACTCCCCACAACCCACTGGGAGGGGGAGCATGCACTTGCTTTATGTGTCTCCCTGTTGTGTTACTTTATGGCAAATGTAGAGCTCTTGCAATGTATCTTGCCAAGGCTTGGGGTCTTTGTTGCTCCAGATTACTCATTTACCACTCACCAGCACCATCCAGCCTCAGTGTCTCCTCTTGGTTTCAGCAGTCCGAGGGGAAAATCTTAGGTAATTCCATGGTCTAAGATGAGTTTCCAGATATGTGATCTCTTGGGAAAATGGCATTTATGGGAACTTGACTTCTCCCCATTACACCCCGTTTAACCCATTAATCTTCAGGGGACTGAAAATATTTTCTAGAGATCCAAATAAAGTAGTCTGTATCTTGCTGCTCTTTGGAGAGAAGAGATTTGGAATATCCTCCCAGATGGCATTGCAAAGCTGTTGTTGAACTTGGTCTCTCCAGAATGTGGGGCATGGCAGCAAATTTACAGAATGTGGGGACACCCAGCTCCCCAGAAGTGACATTTATGGCATTCTGTTGATTCAGGTGCAACCAGTATAACTTCTGAGAGTAGACAAGACCTTTGAGACCCACCTTTCTGTAGCCAGACTTTGCTGGGATGTTGCTCAGTGTACATCTAGCCCTGCAGAGGATCAGGAAAGAAAAAGGTCCAACATGAGTCTGATTCAAAGGGAAGGCACTAACTCTCTGTCTAACTCTGCAGTTTCTGGCCAAGCATGGGAATGCTGTAACCAAAGCTACATATGAAGCTCACATCCCTATTTACTATTACCAGCCAACCTACAATGACTGCCAGTAAGTTGCTGCATACAGAAGAAAAGAGGGAACGGCAGTTCTGGGCTCCTCTAGTTTGTTTCTGAGCTATCTGTCACCTCCTTCCCTAGAGTGCTGAGAGAACAGTGGATACGGGCTAAATATGAACGCAAAGAGTTCACCGAGCCAGGAAAACAGCTGCCATATTCTGATGGTAAGAAGAGAACACAGCATCAAAATATCCTGCCTGTCGCCTTTACTCACTGTGAGGAGAAAGCTCATAGAGTCAGTGTTGTGAATCCTACAAGTACTCCTGAGAACCCAGCTGGTACTTAGAGCGCATTGTTTTGGGGGGAGTTAAACTGTAGGCAGTATAGATTGGCAGTGCCATGGCTTGCTTCCAAGTCTGGTATTACCAGCTGGTATTTTTTGTAGGCATTTGCTGTCCTGGTGGAGCCAGACCTCTGCAGTAAGGAATTTCTGTCTTCCTGCATGCCACCCCCTCCAACCATGGCAGTTCTTTGAAATGTCACTGCCAGTGCTGTGACACAAGGCTCTGGAGCCCAAAGGCCTGCAGAGTTGAGTGGGAAGAGTTCTGGTCGCACACCAGGGTCTGTGTGAGTCAGGACTCTGGTGTTCACAGGAACAACAGCTCTCACACAGTCAGAGCCAGTAGTGGGAGCCAGACTAGGAGGTGGGAAGCATCTCGGAATGTCTTTTGGTGACCATTTATCTGGGCTGCAAACCCAGGAATGCCATCAACTTCATCTGTAACTCAGAGGTGAGACCTCTCCTTCTCAAGTGTTTGATCTCAGCAGCAGTCCATCATGTGCTTTATCCCAGAGGTGTGGCTGGGACCCCAGGCTGCATGCAGCTTTCTGATGCCTACCGTGCCTGTGAGGGGATGCTCTTAAAAGTGGCCTTTTGCTCCTAGGGGTGAAGGAAGGTATTCTCTGGAAGCGAGGTCGAGACAACGGGCAGTTCCTACCCCGCAAGTTCCTCTTGTCTGAGAGAGAGGGATGTCTGAAGTATTTCACCAAGCAGGATGTGAGTATGATGGTCAACTCCCACCTCAGTGCATACCCCAACCAGGGCAGGGGAGTCACAGAGATGTTTCTATTTTCTAATCATGTTTCTGAGGTTGCCTTGCTCATCCCAGGCCAGGGATGATAACAGAAATATGTCACTGAGGAGAGAGGCCCTCTTCCTACTGTCAGGGTGACATTTCCCCATGTCCTCCCTTTGTGCTTCCTGACACCCTTCCCTCACTGCCGATAAAAGGACTGATCTTTCACTTCATCCCTGCCCATTTGCCTGGCTGTGTAATCCTGCAGCATCCCTGGAACCGGTCTCACCCCACTGTGAGCCAAGTTAGCAAAAACTAGTTGTTTGATTTGTTTTGAGGAAGGCTACTTTGCTGTTCGATCATCTCCCTGAAATGAATGGGGCAAGTGCTAATACACTATCACAGGGTGGAAATGGCTTGGGGTGGGGAGGAGCAGGAAATGCCATCCAGAGGGACCTGGACAATCTCATGAGGTTCAACAAAGCCAAGTGCAAGGTCGTGCACCTGAGTCAGGGCAACCCCTGGTATCCATACCAGTTGGGGAATAAAGGGATTGAGAGCAACACTGTGGAGAAGGACTTGGGGGTATTGGTGCATGAAAAAATGACATGAGCTGGCAATGTGTGCTTGCAGCCCAGAAAGCCAAGGGTATCCTGGACTGCATCAAGAGAAGTGTGGCCAGCAGATCAAGAGAGGTGATTCTCCCCCTCTGCTCTGCTCTTGTGAGACCCCAGCTGGAGTACTGTGTCCAGCTCTGGAGTCCTCAGCACAAGAAAGTCATGGACCTGTTGGAGCGGGTCCAGAGGAGGGCCACAGGGGTGGTCACAGGGATGGAACACCTACTGTGAGGAAAGGCTGAAAGAGTTGGGGTTGTTCATCCTGGAGAAGAGAAGGCTCCGGGGAGACCTTATTGCAGCCTTTCAGTACTTAAAGGGGGCTTATAAGAAAGATGGACAAACCTTTCAGCAGTGCCTGTTGCAATAGGACCAGGGGTAATGGTTTTAAACTAAAAGGGTAAATTCAGACTAGATGTAAGGAAGACATCTTTTACAATGAGGATGGTGAGGCAGTGGAATAGGTTGCCCAGATTGGTGGTAGATGCCCCATCCCTGGAAACATTCAAGGCCAAATGGACAGGGCTCTGAGCAACCAGATCTAGTTGAAGATGTCCCTGATCATTGCAGGGGGGTTGGACTAGATGGCCTTTAAAGGTCCCTTCCAACCCAACCCATTCTATGATTCTAGGAGTGGAGTCTCCTGTTGAGGTCAGTTAGCATTTAGACTGGCTCAACTGTAAAGTCAGATGCATTCTCAGTGTTTCACTGGCAGTTCCAGAGTAGGCACAGCTCAAATCTTAACTTGGAGGGGCTGGGTCACTGCTTGGTCTCATGCACACCACACAGTGAAGGGAGTGTAAGCCACAACAGTTTTGTTGGGAAGGGGCAGTTATTACCTTTTAAAACCCTCTGATCCTGCTTTACTGCACTAAATCAGTAGCTCAGGTCTCTTTCCCACTAGGATTGCTCATGCATACCCAATGTCATTCTGTTTTCAGGCCAAAGAACCTAAAATCAATATTAAAATAGATGTCATCAATGCTACATTCCAGCCAGTCAAGATTGGGAACCCCAATGGCTTGCAGATCACATATCTCAAAGACAACAAGACCAGGAATATATTTGTCTACCATGAAAGCGGAAAGGTATCTGGTTTTAGCATCAAACACTGCAAAGCAATTGAGGTGTTTTGAGAAGCTGCTGACACTAAGTAGTCTGAAGCATGGGTAGGACATGTGTGCGTGAGTTTGTTAGGTAACAGGGTGGGGATTCTGGCTACCTTTGTGTGTCTGTGAGAGTTCTGCTGCAGGAAGCAGGGCAGAAAGACTGGGTGGTTTGTGTGGGAGGAGCTGCTGGACGAGATGTTCAGATATGCTGCCTGTACATGTGGGGAATGGGGCAGCCATGCTGGTGGTGTTTGAGGGAGATGTTGTAGGTGTTGGGGAGGGAGAGCTGGCTGTGTTTATAGTTAACATAGGGTTGGGTGCAGCTGGGTGAATTTAGATTGGTCACTGTTGCTCTGGCTAAGCTTTCTGTCCTGTCCTTTTCCATTCTCAGGAGGTAGTAGACTGGTACAATGCCATTCGCTCTGTGCAGTTCCATTATTTGAAGGTAGCATTTCCCATTGCCAGTGACAATGAGGTAAGTCAGCAATAGAGCATGGTGCTGAGTCTCCTGCTGGTACTTGGTTATGTGATAAGAGCCCATTAGCTTCTATTAGATCCCCAGGTACAGAAGTGGAAATTGCAGTGTTTAGACAGAGGGATGAAAAAGTGTGTGTAAGAGGGCCTGTGATTGCCAGAGAACAATTGCTCTCTGCTGTTTCTGGGCACTTTGGAGACAGAAGTGACTCCTGTTGAGGCAGTTCTGCAAACATGAATTTAAAAAGTGGCTAAATTTGGAGGAATAGAAGGAAGGGTTGGGGGCAAAAGCAAATAGCAAATAAACGTGCCTAAATGATGTTACTCCTTGTCTTTTTGTCAGATTAAAAATAGGCTGACAAGAAACTTCCTGAAGGAGGGATACATGGAGAAGACTGGTCCCAAGGTGATCTGCTGTAGGAGGAAAAAAAATCTAATGGGGACCTCCCAGAGAGCCACTGACCTCATCCCTACTTCAATGTTTTCCTCCTGCTGTTTCCCCATTCCCCCCTGACTCTTTAGAAACCCATGGGAACAGTGTGTATGCACCAAGGGAGGGGAGAATAAAGGGGAGGGACACATGTGAAAGTAGGTGAAGCCAAAGTCCCTGCTTTCTTCTAGAACAACAGATCTTTCTGCATGTGTCTGTGTGTGCGTGACCTTACAGGTATGTAGCATCTAGATTTCTCCTGTCTCAACTCTGGGGTCCTTCACAGAAGTCCAAGATTTGGGGACAGAAGTTGGGACCCAATACTGATCCCCACTCTCAGCTCAGAAAGGGTGAGGAGGAGGTTGCTGTTAAGTCAGGGCCTTTGGTTCAAGTGGTTGGGATGAATTTTGGGTATACGTTTGAACTGCTTGCGACAGAGGGCACTGTCCCCTTACATATATCACCTTTTCCCTTCACAGCAGAGAGAGGCTTTTAAGAAGCGCTGGTTCACATTGGATCACCGCAGGCTCATGTACTTCAAGGACCCTTTGGTGAGGGGGAGATCTTACTCTGGCAGCTGTGGGCAACAGTGCTGAGGGCAGGGTCAAAGTGTAACCAGAGTCTTTGCGCTGCAGTAAGGGATTCCCCAGCTGCTCTGAATGGACTCTAGGTCTCCCCCTTTCCATCTCAATTCATCCCATGCTTTCTGTATTGTTTCACTGCCTGCAGACAATGGGAACAGGGAGGGCAGCGGTGTAAAGGTGGTGATGGGGAGGACAGTGACATGAGGGGGTGTCATGGAGAGACAGGAGCAGCAGTTCCTTTCTCAGACCTCTTAAGATCTACATGCTTAAATTTTTCTTTATGCTGCTGGCTTTGAGCATAGCCTCCCTGCTCTTCTGAATCCCCTGACCGTTTTCATGTCTTTTTGGTGCTATATCCCTGGTCCTCACCCACTCTTCCCCTGTCCTTAGGTGCACTCCTTCTATTCCCTGGTTCTTCTGGCATTCTATAAATCCCTCTTTCCCTCCTGATGTGCAGGATGCATTTGCAAAGGGTGAGGTATTTGTGGGCAGCAGAGAGAATGGATATAGCGTTCAGAAGGGATTGCCTTCCGGGACACAGGGCAATTTCTCTTGGCACTATGGCCTCACCATTGTCACCCCCGACCGGGAATACCTCTTCACCTGCGAGACGGAGACTGACCAGCTGGGATGGATCGAGGCCTTCACGAGCATCATCAACCAGGCCATGACACCACAGGAATATGCAAGTAAGTGCCTGGATGCTGTTTCCTTCCCCTTCTGCCACACTGATTCAGAGTACTGCCCTAATGCACCACCCTTTTTCTTCACTTACAGTTGAAGCCTACTTCAAGTTTAAATCCTAGGAAGCCATGCAGGAACCTCTCTACAACTTGAACCCTACTTGGTCCTGTTGGGTTGGCCCATCAGGAGAGGAGAAGAGATTGCCATCGGAGAAACACAGTGCTCTTGAAGCACTCTTTGAAGCACTTTTTTTTTTCCCTATGGACAGTCCATTTGTTCTGGGGGCCAAATTAAGCAGCTTCCTTTCAAGCACAAGATTTTGCAAGTCTCAATCCTCAGTGCAAACTATCATTGTTAAATTACTGTGATCTGACTGGATGCTGGCAGGCCTGGTCTGTCAATCTGGCCTTGAAAACTTGGCACTTGCTGTGTTGGATGGGGGCCCTGGCATCACGCTTTCCACAACAAAACAGCTGCCTGGTTGGGGCTACACCCTAGTGGGTTGCAGGGGCTGCTGGACTAGGAAGGACTGTTCCTTTACAAGAAATGGCTTATCTGCTGGCAACAGAGATGTGAAACATCTAGATATTTGATCAGTTGGAGCTGTAGTTGAGAAAAGTCACTTAAAAGATGTAATTTAACAGCCAAATGTGAGGTCTGTTTCCTTCTCCAGCTTCTTCAGACCACATTTGTGTGGAGGCCTTCCTCTGATTGCTACAGAGAGGGTTAACATATCTGCTCAAAAACAATATGTAGATATACTTGTGTGTATGTGGATAATTGTGCGTGTGTGTGCACGTGTGTGTGCGCATATAAAAAAAAAAAAAAGTGGTGGGAGGTGGAATACTGCCCTACAGAAGATACTGTGAGGGATATTCATGCCATTAAAGTTCAGCTGTCAAATTTAAGTCTCTAATCAAACCAGTGGAGCAGAGAGCAGCCTATGGCATGTCTGATACAGAATTTGGACTCTCTGTTGACTTTACTAGAGCCTAGAGGTTGATGGCTGAAGTTAATAATACATGGATTTCTGCTCCCTCATTCTCTGTATGTCAAAAGCCTAGCACTTTCGTTCAGCCCTATACATTACATATGTATATATTTTATGTTACATACACATATGATTTTATGCAGTAGTAGAAGTCCGTATGTTCATGCCCTTCTAGTAACAGTTAGCCCTAACCACTAAATCAACCCATGAATCATATCTTAAAGATCATCCCTTAAAGCTCTCCTGGGAAAGCTGTTTCACATGCTGGAAGGACCAGCTGATGAGTGTAGAATCTGATGTGTCTGCAGTTTTACATGGGCAGTGTGAGAGTTGGCATCATGTGTGTTAAGGGGAGCTAACTGGAATTAATGAGGCAACAAGCATTTTAATTAGATCCTAAAGAAATTAATTTAAAAATTCCATTGTAATTTATTTTAACTTCCTAAATGAGCTGAAATGCTAACTGCTAAGGCATGAGGTAGTTTCTTGCAAAAAGACGCAGCCAATCAGAGCAAGGAGCCATGGCTCTTAATTGCATTTCATGGCACACATGGACTGTGAATCTTCTCTTCAGAGCCAAATGGGCAAAGGCATGGTCCAAGGCAGGGGCTTCTCTGTGCTGAGACCACCACAACCTGTTGGGAGCATTGACTTTCTGGATGAGAAGCAGCATCACTCACCCTGCTGCCATGACACAATGGAGCTTTCCACCCAAAAGTATGATTTCACTGCAGTTTGATGATCTCCCCCAGTTTGGAGCATGACTGTCCTATAAACCAAAACCCATTGCAAAGCTTGTGTTCCAAAATGAAGTGCCTTTTGGTTCTGGTAACATGAAAATGGGGCAGTCCCTTAAAAAAAAGCTCAAGCATCATCTAAATGACCTGCCACTTCAGGTCTCTTCTGTGAGGAAGAGTAGAGAGAGTGACCCAGACATGCCAAGAGTTGACACAGATAACCCGGAGGGAGGCCACTGAAGTTGCCTCCATCAATGACATGTGCCATACAACCACTCCTGTGGCACAGCAGTGCTGAAGCTGTTGCTGTTGCATACTGCACATTGGCCGGAATGTGCTTGGGTCTGTAACGGTAGGATGCTTCTTTCTCCTGTTTGCTGCTGAGTTATTGCTGGTGGAGATGAGTGGAAGCATTTAACTTGGCCACAATTAAGCTAATACACTGAGGATGCAAAATGGTGTAGATGAAGTGGCCTTAAAACGCCTGTGAACTAACAGCAGAGAGCATTTGATAGTGGCACATCTGCCTCTGCTCTGCAAATTTTGTCTCTCTATGTCTGTTCCCTGAGATCAACGAGGCTCAGATGTGGATGAAGAAAGAGCAAGGTAGCATTGAGTGCAGGAGGGCATAGGTGTCATGCAGCAATGTCCCGCTAGAAGGCAATGGTGCCTACGTAACAGGCTTCCGCTCTCTGCTCTGAGGTGAGGCAGCAGATATAAAGGTTAGAGAAGGAGGATGGTCTTTAGGGTGAGGGAGGAAAGAGCAGGTCAGCCCTTTGAATCTCTAGGAGCTTGCTGCTGACAGAGGGACAAGTGTGGAACAGGGCAAGGTCATAGAAAATGTGGGATGTCCTACCATTTGCTTGCTTGCAAACTGGGGGCTACCTCCATTGTCTACACCTAAAGGGGCTTGGAAGTAGGGGACAGGCCCTCTCAGCCTGATTCAGCTAAGGGCCAAGGAGAACAGTGTGGCAGCTCCCTGCCTATTTCACTTTCATGGCTGGTCCTTGTTTCTCTTCTAAAGCCACAGCGTAATGCTTTTCTCCCACTTGCCATTTTAAAAAGTCTTACCTTTCAGTTATGTCCTCTCTCAAATGAGAACAAGTATGCAAGGGGAAATGGGGAAAAGAAAGGGAAAGAAGAATAAGAAGGAAAAGGGAGCAAGGAAGACACAGGGAAAGAAAGAGTGTGTCTGCAAGAAAGAGGAGAGAGCCAGTAGGGCTCCTCAGCTAGTGGCTAAAAGCCCAAAATAAACCGGGACTGCATTCCCACCAGTGTGTGAAACTGAGTCAGACACATTCTTCCATGCAGTGGCCAAGGCAACTCTCCAGGGGTTGGTTCAGGGGGGCAGAGCCCACCTGTCCAGAGTCTGTCTGAGCTGAGAGAACACAGACTTGGGAGGAGAAATCTACTTGTCCACTGCGTCCACTGGTTTCCACAGTGAATGCTGGCGAAGCAACAAATGAAAAGCTGGTGAAGAGAAGAGATGTTTCGTTCTGGTCGGCAGAGGTTATTTTGCAGCTATTGATCTTGAAGGGGAGGGCAGTGTTCCTTTCTCAGCCCTTTGATGGTTAAGGGAAACCACCGGACAGAGCCTGTGATGGACAAGATCAGCATGATGGACTGGGCAGCTGGAGGTGAGGAACAGATTTCTCTGGAGTAGCCTACGTCTGATGAACTCTCACCATTCTTCCCTTCACTTGACTGCTTTCCTGTTAAGCCTAGGCATGCCCCATAGAGTGAGGGGGGAAGCAGGGAGAAGGAACGGGTCTCTGACAGCCTGACTTGCTCGCCCTACCCAAAGATGTCTTATGACCTTTCCTTCATCAGTGCAAGGCCTGGAGAGGATCCCGAGGGTGGCAGCTTCGCGGAGGAAAGCAGTGGCGGAGTTGACGACAGTAGTGTCCTGGGAGGGGACAGCCTAGTCACGGGGCCGCTGGGTGCAGTGCTGCTGGTCATGTACCTCATTGGGATGGTGGGAAACATCTACACGGTGGTGGTGGCCTCTGGAAAGGTGGCGGGACACTCAGTGGGCTCCTTGGGGGTCTACGTGATCAACCTTGCCTTCGCTGACCTCCTGTACCTCTCCACCATACCCTTCGTGGTTTGCACCTACTTTGCCCATGACTGGTTCTTTGGGGATGTGGGCTGCAGGCTTTTGCTCAGCTTAGACCTCCTCACCATGCATGCCAGCATCTTCCTTCTGACCGCCATGAGCCTGGAGAGGTACTGGGCGGTGGCCAGGCCACTGCGGGCCAGGCAGGCCAGCAACACTTACCGCAAGCTGGCCAGCGCTGTCCTCTGGCTCCTCTCACTCCTGCTTACAGCTCCCATGATGGTGATGACCCAGCTGCGGGAGGGGGATGGCCCCCACAAGCGCATCTGCATCCCCACCTGGACACCATCAGCCTTCCGTCTCTATCTGACAGTGCTCTTTGCCACCAGCATCCTGGCACCCGGCGTGGTGCTGGGTGTTGTCTACACCCGCCTGGCCTGGGCGTACTGGTCCTCTGCCTGGGGCCTGGGGCTGCTGGTGGCCAGCCGGGCCCCTGCCCGGCAGCTCTTCTCCAGGATCTCCGCCATTGTTGTGGCCTACTGGGCCTGCTTCCTCCCCTTCTGGTCCTGGCAGCTGGCCTGGCTGTATGGGGGTGAGGGGCTGGGCATTGGCCCTGCCGCCCAGGCCTACCTCAACTTCGGTGTCACCTGCTTGGCCTATGGCAACAGCTGCATCAACCCCTTTCTCTACACCCTGCTCACCAGTAGCTACCAACGACGCCCTGGCTGCAGCGGGATGGGCATGGCACAGCCCACAGCACCCTCCCAGGCGGCTACAAGGGGACCAGCAGGAGGCCACAGCATCTTCCCGGCTTTTGGAAAGTTGTTGGGGTCTCTGGGGGAAAGCAAGGGGTAAGCAATGCTCCAGGTTGGGAACATCTCCCAGCCTTTGACCGGGGGTGAGTCGAGAAATAAAAGTGCATCACCTTCCATGTCAGTGTGCAACGTTATTGTGGTGCCTTTCCCTTTGCAAGGCCACTCACTGTCCTCAGCTGGGGGAGGACACTTATCTTTCAGAGCCTGACTCCACCCTCAGCCCTCCCCCGCCAGCCTCTACCTTGCGCAAGGCAGGGGAGTGGGTGGAAGGGAGTAGTCAGCCTCGATAGGTCTAAATTATACAGCTGGGAAACCCTCACCTCCTTGCTAGCAACAGGCTGAGCCATAACAAAGTCAGGACAACAGTGAGTCACAGATTTCACAGGCCCAGTGAGTCACAGCGAGCAGCCACGCTAGCAGGAGACCTGAATAAGGTTCATCCTCTTGTGGTAAAACTTACACTCAGCTTTCTTCCCCCACCCTCCACAAAAAATCTTTGAAGAGTCTTTCTAAAAAAAAGACTCCCAGGTGCAATTAAGATACAGGGTGAGATTGCTCTGAAGTACAGCTTCAGGAGATCAGCACATTTGCTCAGCTTTCAAGATCAGTCCAGCAGAGGAAGATGCAAAGTGAGAGCTCCACTACGTGTCCATCATCATAGCTCATGGAGGGAGCCCTCAAGCAGCACCACGTCCCTGCTGTGGCTGAGGAAATCCCCAACTCTCTGCCTACAAAATGTACCCCAGTCTGCAAGACTGTGTCAGTGTCACTGCATAAACTGGGCCAGGTCTCTTGCCTTGAGGCCATCTAGCCTAGTATGGCTCACTTCCATACAGCTAAACTCTCTTCTCATTCCCAGAAAAAATGGACTCATCTATGGGAAGTGTCCAAGCTATGCTATCCCCCAGCCATGCCTATGCACAGGGTGGCAATGTTAGCTGTCCTGTTTACTGTTATAGATGTAGCCTTAAAGAGCGGGATGTGATCATCCAGAGCAGACTGGCTTTGGGCAACATGAGGTTTCAAGAGACATCCAGCTGCAGTGCCCCAGGTTGCTAGTACACAAGTGTTCCTGCCTCCCAGCTCAAAAGCCCATCTTGAGCCCCTGTCTCCAACCTGTCTCTCCCTTCTCAGCCCCATAATTTCTAGCAGCCAAGCCTCCTTTGCATGGGTTCCTGAGACACAGAACCTGGCAGAGCCTCATGAATTATGGAGCAAGACCAGGAGGTGCTGCTGCCATACGAACAAGTTCCCATAGCTCTGCAACTGCCTAATGGGAAGAATTGGCCCAGCCAGGCCTACAAGGAGTCCTTGTAGGACATCAGATTGTTTGTGCTTTGCACCACTCATGGCCAAGACTGAAAGTGAGAACCCAAAGATTGGGTCCTCCCAATCCAGAATAACCTGGTAACTGCTGTGCGCTGTGGAAAGAGCAGCTTCCACCTTTCCTATGCCCACCAGGCACAGCCTGCCCAACAGCAGTAGTCATTTACTGCCAAAGCAGCATTAGACTGGGAGACCCCTCGAAGGCAGCTATTGGCTGATACCTTGGGTAACGACCCTGTGAGAACTATGCTGTAACATTAAACATGCCTCATCATCTCCAGGCTCCTCAGAGGCTAACCTCAGTTCAGACTGAGAAATGCTCAGGCTCATTTGGGCTAATGTGAATGAAGGAGTTACAAAAGCATAGTGGACACATCCTTAGCATCCCACACCCCAGCTAGGCATTGCTACCTCTCCCAGCTCTAGCTAGGCCAGAAAAAAAACAAACCCTGCCAGGTTACTGCCCTTGTGTCCTACATGAGCTATGGCCCAACAGTATGCATGCTTCTGCAGTTGCTGGAAGCAAGGATTTGGATGAAGAGCCCAATGCATGCTTCATCACACTCAGCAAGGTATCGTTTTCTACTGTTGTGCTCATGCAGAAGTAAGAAGTCCCAAGACAACATAGGAAAGTTGTGTCTTGAGTAAGACCTGTGTCCACAGAGGGGTGCAGGCCAAAGGTAGCACAGCTGAGGACTTCCCCCTCACTCCACCAGGTTTATCTAGCACAGCAGCTCAAAGCTGTCTAAGGCCAGTCATGGATAATTGGTTTAGGAAGTGATAGATTTAAACAAAACATTTTACTCAGACAGGGTAAAGTGTCAGTCTAGATATCAAGCATGGGTGACTTTGCCTAAGCAACCCTTTGACTCCTCCCCCCAGGTCACATCTAGCCTCCGTGTTTCCTGCTGAGACTCTTGGGATTTTCATCTTCTGCCTTTCCAGGCTTTTGACTCTCACCCTCTCCATCCATGACTTTCAGGGCCAGGGCTGGTACAATCTGACCCACATATGGTACTTGAGCAAACTTGGCTACCCTCCACCCCTCCATCAAGGTGACCAGCCAATGGGGATTTGCAGTATGAAAGAAGAGATTGAGACTGGGTAGAGCAAAACTCTTGTTTAATTGATCACTTTTTCTGTATCTGAGATGGAGGCGTCAGAGGAAGTTATTCCCAGCTGAGGGACTGAAGTGTGAAGTCCCCTTGTGTATCAAAGTAGTCAAAGACAGAGAGACCAAGCCGGTTAGGGAATGTGAACTGGTGGCCTGGCAGGTGGACTGTCACATCATTTTGATTGATGCCAAAAGTGATCTGCAAGACAAATGGAAAAGTCAGAGAAAGTTTCTGCCAAGACACCTTCAAGCCTCTCTCCTCCACAGCATTTCTGTGCCACCCACTGCTTTGCAGGGTGAACATGCTAAGCAGCATAACCTGCTCTTCAACAGCAGGAGTGGTATTCTGGTCTCCCAAGCAATGCCTTATTCCCTGCTCAGTTCAACAGTAACATCTCTTTGAGCTAGATGGAGCGTGCATATTTGACCACTGCTCAGAGCCCTGCATGGTGGCATTGACCAAGCAGAAGGCAGCAACCTCCTGTACAGACAATCCTGAGACAGTCCCTGCAGTTAGGTGTCCTTGTGTCAAACACCCTCCCTTTCACCAGGGCATGGACAGAGAGTGTGTCCCAGGCCTCACCTCTGCTGTGCCCCCCTTCTGGAAAGGGAAGACAGTCTCCCTGTGCTCTGCACCCCACTCTTCCATCTTCTTTGAGTTGCACACAATGGTGTTCACATCACCATGAGCATCAAAACGGGGGTTGAAGTGAAGTCCGAGGTGGGAAGCATCCTTCCCCAGATTCATCACAAAGCTGCAGAGAAAGGAAACATCAATGCTGTTTTAATCAATACTATAGTAACACATTGCTGATTACCATGAGCATCTCTAGGTCTGTTGCTTCAAGCCCAGCTGAGGGTAACCCAAGAGAAACCCTTTGCTAAACTACACAGATTCCCTAAAAAGATGGCGCTGTGTCAGTAAAGGGTACCCTCCTCTGCTGGGGTGATAGGCCCCACAGTGCCATCCCTAGGAGAGACACCACTTAGTTTCCACAAAACTTTTGAGAGAAAGGTTCAGCAATGAGACCTGAAGAGGGAGTTATTCTGCACTCAAACCAGCTCTCAAGGAGTCAGTTGCTTTTCACAGATTTCCTTTCAGCCCCAAACAGTTAGCTGGTGCTGTATTCTGCCAGACAGCCACTGCTTTCTCCCCACCCTGCAGGCAGCTGAAATAATTACCATGTCATTAGCTATCCCAAAGCATCTGCAATGTCAGTGGGAGGAAGCAGCTTCCTAGCCCAATGTCCACCTTGCCTTCAGGCCACTTACCCAGATGAGAAGAGGCATATTATTTAGCAAGAGAAAGCCCAGGAGGCTTCACTCTGATGCTATCAAATTTCAAAGGCACTGGGAAGAGCTGGGACATGTTTCCTGGAACACCACTAGTGCTGGTACAGCAACTACAGGCTCCACCTTACACATCAAGGGGCCCTACCAGCCACAGACCTGCACAAAGGCTGGGGTGTGATGCAGCAGCTTCCCCAGGGATGCCAGACACCCTGATCCCTGCAGCATTAGAAACACATTTCCACTTAATCCCACCTGTCTGCTCACCACCTTCCTCCCTCTCTCCTTCCCTTCCCCGCCAGCATCTGAGAGGCATCTCCACTGGGTGAAAGCAAACTTCAACACTGAGATGCCCCGCTGCAACATGCAGCCTTTCCATTTGCACCATCAGCAGTGGCTCAGAGCATCCATGGAGCCAGAGCACCCAAAACCTCCCAGCTGTTTGGATTATAATTTCCTCTTGCCCAGTTAAGCAAGGCACCCTAACAGTGTCCCTACTACTGGCCATCTTCATGCAGGGGAGAGGATGTGGCTGTGGGGATGATTTTAACCCAAATCTCAGTATAGACAGCTTCCATTTCCTTTACCCTGCACTAGAGAGGAAGTGGTCAGTGCCAGTGCACGCAGCTGGGGCTTCACATCTGCTTTGGCTTATCCCTTGGCAGTAGGGTGCATCTGCAAAGTGCATTAGGCAGTGACTCACTCTGAAGTTAACTCCTGGTTAACTTCTTCCAAAGCTGCTCCTTTCCTACCCGACGGATTCCTTCTGTCCTCCACCAGCAGAGGGCAACCCAGTGTGGTGCCTCGGCCATGCCCGGGCAGCACAGCACATCTTACCTCTTGGCACTTGGTGCAATTTTCCCCTTGATAGTGAGGCGCTGGCCAGGCTTGAGACCCAAGTTGCTGCATACTGGTCCCTGGGGAATACGAAGGCAGAGATGTTACCTCAGTACCTGCTGGCTTTGCAGCTCTCCTTGCTGCCTTGCAAGACAGTGTCTTGCTTTGTAGGGCTGGAGACAGGGAAGCTCCCTTCCCCTAGGGCATTGCACCAGGGACATCCCAGACAAGCTACCCCAGTCACATGGGACATGTGTCTGATTTCCCACCCTTTCTCCCACTGCTCTTATCAACATATCTGTATTTTACAGTAGTGGAGAGGATAAGTACCTGCAAGCTCCCATCACACCCACCCTATCCCAAACACACTTGTGTGCCTTGTGGGTCTCATCATCCCACACAAGCCTGGCTGTGCAGGGATGGAGCCTCTTCTCCCTTCCCCTACGTTTAATTTGAACTCCAAGCCTTGCTCA